GACGTCCAATCTTCTGACATGTTCCTCCAGCACAACATGATTTTCCTGCTTTAATTGTCTCAACCTGATCAAAGCATCCTGCGTCACTCAAAACGCAGATTAAATCATAAACATATATCAAGTAGTTTCATCATCAAAATACGAGATTCAACAGTAATTACGACAATTGGATGTTAATAATACTTTTTTACAAGGGACTCTAACTGAAGCTGTTTTTATGCAACCACCTCTTGGTTTCACTCATCCTCAGTACCCAAGGCATGTTTGCAAACTGTGGTAAGCTATTTATGGACTTCGTCAAGCTCCAAGAGCTTGGTACATAGAACTTGGCTCTTTTCTAACTTTAGTTGGCTTTCTCAACTCCAAATCTGATACCCCATTATTTCTACGACAACATCATGGTGATACAATATACATTCTGGTATATGTGGATGACATCATTGTCACAGGCAACAATCCCGTAGCAATTCAAGCATTCATTACACAGTTGACAGATCGATTCTCGCTTAAAGATCTCAAACCCTTGAACTACTTTCTAGGCATAAAAGCTACATTCACTTCTACCGATCTCTTTCTCTCACAAAAAAAGTACATTCAAGATTTATTATAAAAAATAAATATGCAAGACGCAAATGCGGTTACAACTCCTCTCTCTACTAGTGGCTCTCTCAAATTATCCGATGAAAGTCCTACTGCGGAGCCCACTCAATATCGACAAGTCGCTGGCTCCTTATAGTATTTAGTTCTCACCTGTCTAGACATATCCTTTGTAGTCAACAAATTATCACATTTTATGCATAGGTCATCTATTATGCACTGGTCTGCGGTCAAATGAGTCTTGGGATATCTTAAGGGGACCCTTAATCATGGTCTCTTTCTTCGTAAACACTCTCCACTTCATCTTCATGCCTTTGCTGATGCCGATTGGACAGGCAACTTTGATGATCAAACATCCACATCGAGATATATTATCTTCCTTGACGCTAATCTAATTAGTTAGAGTTCTAAGAAACAAAAGACAGTCACACGGTCTATAACTTAAGCTGAATACCGTGTCATCGCTACCGCCACTGCAAAACTCAATTGGGTTACAAATCTACTCAAGAAATTCAACATGAGTTCCTCTCCTTCAATATATTATGATAATGTCGGAGCTACCTATTTGTGTGCTAATCTAGTGTTCTACTCCTGCACGAAGCATATTACTATCGACTTCTACTTTGTGAGAGATCAAGTTGTTCGTCGTTAACTTCGTGTTTCTCATGTACATACGACTGATCAATTAGCCGACTCACTCACGAAGCCTCTCACTCGTAAACTTTTTGCTTTACATCGTTCCAAGATTGGTATCCTTAATATGAGCACTATCTTGTGGGGGCATAATAGTTGATAATATTTTCCTGTATGAAGAAATCTTTCTACCCTATTAAAAAAAATTCTCCCTCCTAATATGAATAAATAGAGGAGAATATATCTATGAGAAGATATGCATCTTCTTTCTCGCACTTCATTTCTAACTTGCATCAATTCCTAAAAGTTATCTTGTCACCAGAATAGCATCAGTCCCTCCAATCGGATCCCTTGTATCGTGAGGAATGGCACTTACAAAACTAACAATGAGATTATGCCCATAAGTAATTATTTTCATTGGATAGAGGTTTATATTGATAGCATAGGAAAGAAATATTCATGAAATACGGATATTATTCTCTCCAAGTTCATGCTTGTGGGTGTCGAGTTTTAATTATTTAAAATATTAACCCAGATTTGATTTGAGTATTATAATTCTACTAAAGAAGATGAAATATTGCCAGTTTTGCTAGTAATAAGTTGGTCAAGATAAATCAGGGTAAGGGTCGGGACAAGGTATGCATTTATTTCTGATATTTAGTATGATAGGATCAGGTTTGACTGAGATCTTCCCTTCAAGAGAAAATATATGCTCGAGATTCCATGTGTCCGATGGATCGAGTTTGAGATGAGTTAGTATCGATCTCAAGATTTCATGCAATAGGTGATCAATTCGATTGATTTGATGAGTTTGATCGAGCATCACAAGGGTTCGATCTGATTTATTACTGAAATCAGGTATCAAACCAGCTCGAAATGGATAAAATATGGAAAACACGGTTCCTTTTTTTTGTTTTTGAATAATAAAGGACATTCTACTGAAAAAATCTTCTAACATCTTTTACCTCATATTTGTTTTTGTCCTGGATAAAAATGACTTCATACTTCTACTTAAATGATTAGATGTTATTCAAAAAATTATTAATTTTGATAATTAATTATCATAATTTTTTAAAAAAAATAAAAATCATATAAAATCATATCCTACTGATTTTAAGATGATTAATATACTTCTTTATTTTTTTAAAAAAAATTATGATAAAATTAATTATTAATTTTTTTAAAATATCATATATGACCAAACCATCTTGGTAAAAGATTAAATATATTTTTATCCAAGTTGAAACAAACATGGGGGCACCCATTAGAGTTTTTCTCGATAAAATATTTAATAATAAAATAATTTATGATGGCCAGTTCGTTTCCAGAAACATTGCCATCGACTGAACCTGGTGGGGTCCAAGTCGTCTACCCGTCAAATATTTCTGAACCCATCGCCGGTGGGACCTGGTGGGTTCCCCCTGTTATCTTTTTAACATTCTGTTATTATCTTAAAAAAGATTGATAACGTCTTACATAATCGAACTGATGACCCGGTCCGGTTTTAGAGACATTTCGTCGATTGAACCGCGGCCTGGTGATTTCTGCCCATAAAATATTTCTGAACCCATTCGGCGGAGAGCCCTGGTGGGTCCCAGAATCCTCTCCGCTCTTTCAAATTCTCTCTCTTCCGAACTAGCCGTTACTCGCACCACGACGTAGTCCACACCACCGCCTCCCACGTTCCCCATCCCTCACACTCCCACAGCTTCTCCGGAGCCGCGCTTTAAAACCCTTCGTCTTCCTTCTTCCCTTTCAAGAAAACGTCTGCTCCCAACTCCACCACATTCCTCGCTCTCTTCCAGTCTTTCCCCTCTCTTCGCTCCCAATCGCCCTCTGCAAATCATTTAACGCCGGAGATGTTCACCGAGGGGCTGGACGAGACGGCCATCAGCTGGGTCAATCAGGTCCGCTCAACGACGCTCCCTCTCTCTTTCCATCCTTCATGAATTACTCCTCTGTCTGCGCTTTTGAAGATGCTTTCTTTTCATTTGATCTCGCTTTGGATCTTTCCGGATGGTGAGATTCGTCGGCCCCGTGTCGGATCTCGGTCATTTGTGGTTCTGGTGGCGGACTTGTTTCCTTTCAAGGGTTTCTTGAAATCCGTCTCTTCTTGGTCCTTTGCGGTTGCATCCCGATGTGTGATTATTTGATGGAGTTCTTGTTTCTTTCCGTTCGATCTTTGATGCGTGCCGCCTCTCCTGGTTTCGATTGCTGCACCAAGTGTAAAGCTGGGTCCTTTCTTGATCTAGCTTTACCTGGTGGATCCGTCCTCTCTTCCTTCTTGTCTTTGTTCACGTTCTTGGTGGCCGGTCTTCTTGTCTCTGGTTATTATTGCTCAGTATCTTAAATATAGCTGCTTCTTTCCATGTAACTATGGAACCCTAGCAAATACTTCCTTCTTATGGAGTTCTGATTTCCTACATATGCATGAACGGTAGCAGGGATCAGATGTTGCTCAGAAACCTCGATCTCCTCTGGTAGAGAAATATCCCGTGGAACCGGTCCCTGAACAACGACTGCTCTCCAAATGCAACAACTTTCTGTCGCCGAAAGCATTGCCCCCCGTAAAATTCCACTCGAGCTTGCTAACTCCGCACTCGCACTTGTTGTCTGATTCGGACGAAGATGAGAGTGTCGCTTCTGTTCCAGAGGACTACTACGCCAATTACTCCGACAGCGACTCCGATCTCTTTGGGAAGCCAGGTAAGAGGAGTTGCGAGGAGGAGATATTGTCAGGTGAAAGTTCTTGCTACGAGCCAGTCAGAGAAACAGATGGCAGACAGCGATCTACTTTAGTTCGAGGGCTTTCCAAGGAGAACCTAAGAGTAGATGTAGCAGCAAACAATTCTTGTAGAGGTGATGAGGTGAAGTCCAAGTTCAGCGCTAATAGAAGCTCTGTCTCAGGTGCCATCGCCCAGAATCATGAACAAGATGGCTTTCCCCATTCACGTGTATGACCTACTCCTTTAATTTGAATCTCAATTATAATTTGATCCACAGCCTGTAACACTTGTGCTATAATTTGATCCATTCACGTGTATGACCTACTCTTTTAATTTGAATCTCAATTATAATTTGATCCACAGGTCTGTAACACTTGTGCTAATCTGACAATAGCTCTGTTTTCATTTCAGGTTCATATTTTAAATGAGTTCATGGCTGAGAAATTTCAAGAACTTGGAACACCCAGTGCACCTCCCATTGTGGGGAATGGAAGAGAATCAGGCAGCCTAAATTTAAATGGTAAGGAGCAGGTCATACTCATTACATGAAGGAACTGTTTATGGCATGTGGTGACACCTAACAAATGAAATTTGCCCATTAGGTGAAACCAAGGTTAATTTAGGCACTGAGGTCTCTTCAGATTTTTCAATACTGGCACAGAAAGTTGGAGAAATTCCAGCAGGGTATGAAACATGTTTCTTAACAATTACTTCATTCATGTTGGCATATATATTTTTCAAATTAATTTTGCCTTATTAAACGGATTGTGTAATACAGAGCCATACCTGTAGAAGGAGATATGCAGATTCCTCTCTGGCAAACAAATATTGCCTCCCATATGCCAAGCTACAATACTAGGTTTGCCTAACAAGTTCATGTTTGAGGCCCTAGGAAAGACTTCTTAGTTTCCCAAGTACTTTGGTGTAGCCTACATATAAAATAAAAATCATAAGAGTACATTTTGTTGCCCATTTGTGCTAGCAGTGTTCAGAGCGCATGGCAAACATTTATTGCTTATGATGCATGTTTCCGATTGTGCCTCAATGCATGGGCAAGAAACTGCATGGAGGCTCCAGAGTTCCTTCGGGATGAGTGCATGGCTCTGCGCAATGCCTTTGGGTATGAATTAACTAGTTTATGGAAGCTCTACATTTGGTGGTAAAATATGGTTCTCACTTTGTGTAGCTTGGTGTGATAAGTGACATATCTCATCATCGTACAGATTGCAAACCTTCTTGCTGCATCCTAGGGGCCAAACTCAAGGAGAGGGAAGGCATGCTGATAGTAAAGAAGGAACAAATGTCATTAAGGGTCGGAAAATGATTGGACAAGTGGAAATTGAAGGTAAAGCCTTTTGAATATGATTTCGCTAGGAACTTATGATGACAACTTATGACTTGATTCACTTGCATTTCCATGTACAGTCACACCTCAAGGCATTTTCTTGACTAATTTTTGTTTTAGAAATTGGAGAATTGGATCAAACATCAGCTTTCTTGAAACAACAGAAAAGTTATTGAGGTTGATTTTTATATAGACACTAAATGGAATCCATCTTTCTTTCTACTTTAAGAAGATGAAGACATCCTTTAGTTCTATTTGATTTTATTTTAAAAAAAAACTCATACATAGAGTTCTTACAAAAGTAGGTATCAGTCTTGAGAGTAACATCCCTCAATTGTATAATATATATTCTTGCAATATAAAATGTGAATTTTCCTTTCTTTTGTAGTGAAAAGGATCCGCATCATACCTCAAAGAAGAAAGCTGCAGCCTACCTCTTCGTATCGAACAATATATATGCAAATGGGAGCTGAATATGTCAAACACATGTCAGCAATTTTAAAAAGTCAAATAAATTCATTAAGAGCAACTGCTTCCCCAGTTTCTTCTGAAGGTTATGAAACTGAGCATTTATCCTATTTTTGTCCCAGAATTTGCAAATAGTCATTAAAGATGCTAACTTCTTTTTACTAACTTCAGACACTCTGTCATGTATATTACAATTGAAGAGCTCTAGTGAAGATGCACTCACAGAATCAGGTTCTAGTGTGTGTTTGAAACCTGGAACTGGTGATTCTCATATATTGTAAGTCCAAATTAATAACTACTATATATGTACAGTTTATGTTTACTTGCTATATGCATTAACATGAGATGCCACTAGTTTTATGTTCTGTACAAGTACACGCTCAACTACTGATCTCTTTTCAGCTATCCTGAGAGTCAAGGAGATGCACTTTTGATTGAAGTCCATAATATAAATAGAATTATCCAAGGTCGTGCCACAGTACCAATATCATCACTGGCTGAATGTCATGTATGCATCTGTTCTACCATCTTTCTAATAGGTTCTTCTGATTTAATAATTTTACTATCATCACCAAGCTTACTTTTATAAGATGCATGCAAATGAAGCAGGGAGAGATGACTAGATGGTGCCCTATATACTTAGAAGATCATGTCTGTGTAGGGAAGGTTCAAATCTCAATCAGTGTTTTTCACTCTTCGGACAAGATGACTTCCACCAAGGTGGTTATTTTTGTTCTTTTTGAGCATACAACTGCCAATTTTTTATTACATGAACAGGTCTGGGCATCATAAGAGATCCTGATCTATCAAGATTGTAACTCTTCTAAGTCTTTTGAAGTCAAATACCGAGGCCCTTTAGCATAATGAAGTTTCAAGTTGTGCTAGGATTATTTTTGGCACATTCTAATATGACCTTGAATTTATTCCACTATCGATAATGGATGACCAGATTACTTGTTTCTTAGATGTTGCAGGGTGGTCCAGTTGTCGAAACAATGATATATGATCTAGTACTTGAGGCAACAATGCGAGCTCAGCATTTTCATTCAAAGAATTTACATATACATGGTCATTGGAAGTGGCTTTTGAATGAATTTGCTGATTATTATGGAGTAACTGATGCATATACAAAGCTGAGGTAGTTGAATGTCTGAGTTAATGAATATAATCACATACATCCTTAAAATACTAATATGTCTATCTTTTGTAAATTTCTTAGGTATCTTTCATTTATCATGAATGCTGCGACACCTACAAAAGAATGCTTAGAGCTTATATATGAGCTCCTTTTACCCATCATGAGAGCTCGAGGTGAAAAAAATTTAACTAGACAAGAGGTATTGTTCTACAATCTACAATATGCATTGTTACCTAAAACACTATCTCTGGTTATGCAATGCATGCTTGTGAAATATTTGAAAAAGAAAACTTTTTAAAGAATCAAAATACAAAAAGTCATGGCTGGTTGTCCCCCTGTAAGTTTTTTGTAGGTGTCACTCTATATGTTAATTTAGACCTACATTTACCATTTGTTTGGGACGTTGACATACTATGACCAAGCTTTAAATATACCATCCAGAAAGAGGTTTGCAACATGATTTGATCTATCGTTATGTAAATTGAACAAATCATCATTATGACTGCTTACAGTGTGACCTAGTTTTTCAGTTTAAATTGACCAAATGACTCTTGCACAAAAAATTTGGAAAATATGTGCATTATTGTAAGCTGGTAGGTGATGATGTGCAACATTTGATGCATCTGTTGTTCATATGCCAAAGTAAGGATTAAATTATTATGCAAGTAATAACTCAAGGTAATGTGCAAGAAGTTTCTGACATGGTCTTTTTCCACTGTTTATCACAGAGAAGCATTCTACTGGATTGTGAAGATCAGATCAACAATTTGTTGGCAACTACTTTTGAGAACTACAAGTCACTAGATGAGCTTTCACCAACAGGCCTAACTGACATTTTTGGTCCAATTCCGGAATCTGCTGCACCAGCCTTAGTGCCTGCTGTACAGATATTCACTCTTCTGCATGATATCCTGTCTCAAGAAGCTCAAAATATTTTAAGAAATCATTTGCAGGCAAGTTATGAAAATGAATGCATTTAGCTAGTCAAAATATATCTGGCACTACCTTAAAAATTCTATACAATATGTTGCAATTTTATGTGTCCCTTTGCTTGTGATTTCATAGGTCTCCTCTCAAAGATGGAAATATCATAGATACTCCTCTAATGCTTGTATTGATTGTAACCCTTGTTAAAAACTTCATGAAGATCCTTCCAAATTTTACATAATGTGGGCATATACAAAAATACTGGGCATATATGAAATAAGTTGAAAATCATAAGAGCTTGTATTTGCAACTCTAGAGAAGCATACATGATATTGTACATGTTTTGAAGGTACTGATGAGATGGACCCAAAGATGTTAATATGTTATTTTCCATTTATTAATAAACTTGTTGTTTACTCAATAAGGTTATTACATTACATTAATCAGAAATTCCATTTTTCTGTTACGAGTATAGAGGTATTTTTCTTGTTTCCTTTATCTGATATAATTACAATATCTTGTTGTTTGGATAGTGAATTTTTTAATTCCTCTGGACCTTCTAGGAGATTCACCATATTGCTTTTGTGAGGCTTAAATCATACCTAAATCTTGTGCTACAGATTGCTGCAGCAAAGCGGTGTAGGCGGCATATGGTAGAAACTGATGAATTTATGTCAAGCAACTGTGATGGACTCTACGCAGACCCTATGACCTTCTCAACAGCATATCTCAAAATGAAAATGCTATGCATTAATATAAGCAACGAGATTCAAGCAGATATCAAGATTCACAATCAGCATATATTTCCTAGGTATTCTCTTGTTTAGCCATCTCTGGGACTTTTAACAGAAGCAACCTTAGTGGATTTAGTTGCATGATGATACTAACAAAAGAACTGTTGATGCCCCCTTATTGTCAGTTCCATAGATCTGCCAAATATTGCTGCTTCTTTATACAGTACTGAGCTCTGCAAAAGACTCCGAGGGTTTCTTGCAGCTTGCCCTCCATCCAAGCCCTCACAGCATGTGGCAGAGCTGCTGATTGCAACTGCTGATTTTGAAAGAGATCTTGAGTCATGGAACATCAGGTAAGTTATATTAGAATTAATTAGAAATATATTGATGGATAAATACTTATGCTGCTTTTATGGTTTTTGGCTGTGTGTATTTTCAAACTCGGCTAACCAAGATATAGTAGTCAGCTGCATCAGCAATGTAGTTCTAATATTAATCTATCTACACTGTCTTCTTCAGGCCAGTTCATGGAGGGGTTGTCTCAAAGGACTTGTTCCATGACTATATCATGGTTTGGATCCAAGACACGCGGCTTCAGTTACTTGATCTTTGCAAGACAGAAAAGGTCTTTCTTTGCATTCATATTTTTTGGCCTTGCATTTTCTGAAATTTAATCAATAGGAATTAATATGAGTGATTTATAGTCTGGCAATAATCAAACATTGTCATTATATTCAGATATCTTGGATGCATGACTGGGAAAACAATCATTCATCTTTTATTGTATATAGTCTTTGCAGGTACCATGGTTAGATGTATCCACAAATTGTGCAACGTCACCATTGGTTGAGAACATATATGAACAGATTAGAAAAGGCATAAATGAGTATGAGGTGGTGATAAGTAGGTGGCCTCAGTACTTGTTGGCTTTAGAGAATGTAAGTGATAATGGTTATTTTTTTGCCCCAGCAGTAGCTGCTGCAATGCAATCTTCTATTTGTATTTATTCTGGTTGGTATGCTTCACAATCATGCAATCATATCACTCTTAGGCTCTTGCTGACATCGAACGAGCAGTCTTCAAGGCACTAGAAAAACAATACAGTGAGATCCTTGTACCTTTGAGGGATGGGATTCCAAAAATACTCGAGAAGCAAGTGCAGAAGCTCACAAGGCGACAGCCTACTTCTCCTTATGTCGTACCCAGTCAGGTGAGTGTTCCATGTCTAGATTTCAAATTTAGGTGAAACATCAAGACTGCTAATACAATAACTATTTTTTTTTGTGTTCTGGCAGCTGGGAATCTTTCTTAACACTGTTAAAAGAATCCTTGAAGTGCTACATCCTGGAGTTGAGGATTTTTTAAAATGTTGGGCTGCATGCTTGACAATTGAGGATGGAAATACAATTTTTGGAGAGCAAATGAATGGAATCACAGTAACTCTGAGGAAGAAGTACAAGAAGTACATGCAAGCAATTGTGGAAAAGCTTGTCAGCAATGTTAGTGTCACTTTAAACATTCCCTCATTTCACTTGCCTCTTTATAGTTTGGGTGTTTGCGAGCTGTACATAAATAAGTCTTGGTGTGACATTTTGCAGGCACAAGCAAACCGAACCACGAGGCTCAAAAGGATTCTCGAAGAGACAAAAGAAGCAGAAGGTGAACCCGAGATTCGTGACAGGATGCAGACCTTGTGTCTGCAGCTAACAGATTCGATACACAATCTACATCATGTGTTAGCTAGCAGGATCTTTGTTGCAATTTGTCGTGGTTTCTGGGATAGAATGGGACAGGTATGTGGAAGAAAACAGATTCACTATAAACAAGAAATGGTTCGTCTTTCCAACTTATAACTTGTGTTTCATCAGATTGTGTTGAGCTTTCTTGAGAGCCGAAAGGAGAACAGAATATGGTATCGAGGATCCGATTATGCTTTAGGGGTAAGCAGTCATTTGTTTATACTTTCTACTAAATGAAAAAGAGTGTCTTGGTATATATATCTTTGCTCATGTGGATTATTGATGACATGCAGATTTTAGATGATCTGTTTGCATCTGAGATGCAGAAACTGCTCGGGAATTCTCTGCAAGACAAGGACTTGGATCCACCTCGAGCAGTGATCGAAGCCCGGTCCATCCTCTGCTGAAACTTCAACCGCGATCGGCTATGGAAATCCCAATCAATCAAATTGTTCGGCAGCAGAAGATGATGCTTTTGTTCATTATATTAATTGGTAAGTAAGAGGAGATGAGGCACTTTTTCGTAATTGTGTTATAGTCATTCTTTACTGTATTATATATAGTCTTGTCATTCTTTATCAAGGAACAAAGAGATAAACAAGCATCCATTCTTCTCTATGTACATTGCCTTTCTCTTAAATGGAGGGTGAGATGCTCAAAACAAGGCTTCTTCTCACCAGTGTAATAAACCAAGTAAAACAACAAAGCTGGATCATGAAATCGACAACGTCTTTTACAAATTGGAATTGGATACGAGTAAGTTCAGCTCAGTTTGCATGTGGGGGGGACCCAACTCAGTTTACATCCCATATTGCACAGGCTTGTTTCAGGGATTCCAGATTCTGAGAACACGGAGCTGAAACGGCAAACGAGCCACTGCCTTCCACTCGCTTTGCAGCTCCGGTGACAACCCACCAACGGGCACAATCAGGTTTTTGCTTAACCAACAAGTATCAGAGCCTTGTAATCACAAAATTGGTGCCACAAAACACAGTCATGTTTTTGCTTAACCAACAAGTTCGAATAAAGGTTGCGTCTGTGGTCGGCTGGCCCTAGGATGCAATTTTCTCCTGCTTTGGTTCCTTAGACATAATATTGCCACACTCTTCTTCCTTATACTTTGGGTTAACGGAGCATTTCCTTTGGATCCGCGCGTAAGCGGTCTGAGCGTCATCCGAAGTCGAAAGAGTAGATTTTTAGACAGGTGAAGTAGCTAGAAGAACAAAACAACAATCAGTTAGTTGTCATCGCAATACTAATAAAGCATGTATTTTCTTTTTAATGATTTTGGTCATTACTGAAGAAGCCATCTTGTTGAACATACATCAAACTAAAAATCACAAAACAGAAGTAAATAGGAGAAAAGTGAGTAAAAGATGTATGGTGGACTTTATTTACTAAAATTTGAGGTAAAAAATCTCTGCTCATCCATCGCCAGCCATGGGCAAGAGAAAAAAGAACCTGTCGTTTGCTGTTGGAGCTTCCACTAGTGCACTCCATAGAGGATGGCTTGTCAGTGTCTCCCGAAGACTGAGCATCTCTGCCCCAGCAGCTCTCTCTGTTGGAGCTCGGCTCGCTCGAATAGGAGTAGAGTTCGCATTACAATACTGATGACCAAGCATGTGTTGTTTTCTTTTTAATGATTTTGGTTATTACGGAAGCCATCTATACTTGCTTGTTGAACGTCAAACTTAAAATCGCAAAACAGATGTAAATAGGAGAAAAGCGAGTGGACTTTATTTAGTAAAATTCAAGGTAAAACTCTGCTCATCCCCATCCATCATATGGGCAATAGAAAAAGAACCAGGGTATTCCACAGAGGATGATATGTCACACAGAGTCTCCTGTGACCGAGCATCTATCTATCTATCTGCCCCAGCTCTCTGTCGGAGCTCGAATAGGAGCAGAATTCGTCGTTTGGTCTGGTTCTTTTCGTCTATACATGTTGACTGAAACAGTAAAGTCTAATATGCAGCTTGCACGTACACAACTTTATGACGTCCATGATGGTTAAATTTGTTTGTACATTTGCATGTCAAAAGTATACATCCTTTATTTGCACGTACACAACTTTATTTGCATGTCAAAAGTATACATCCTTGGCAGCGGGAGGAACTGGGACCAGACAAGTCAGTATAGGAGCTCAAAAACAAACTTATGCAACTACAGTACCCATGTAAAAAATTATGTGAAATTGGAAGCATAAATTTGTGTCAAAACATAGATTAAAAGGGTGTGGAATGCATATTACGTGACAAAGCATTGGAAAGTCAACCCTATCATAAACTAGAACATTCAAGATTAGTGCATTTGGAATGACAAATAGTTTGACACTTGCACAAATGATGCAACACATAGCACAAGAGCATTTTAACAGTTTTAGCAAAATTCCCAAATAACATTAACCTTGATCATTTTGAGCTGCTATCTATAAATAAATAGTAAAAGGAGCAGCACAGCTTATGGTTTGGCAGCATAATTGTGTCAGCAAACAGGCAACATTAGTAGGTGTGTCATTTTTTTTCAAGAAATTTCGATCATCATAATACAAAGTTCCAATTTTCAGATGGGCTAGTAAGTAACTATACAAATAATTCAATATCAACAAACAAAATAATTGAAACCGAAGAAACTTAAAAAGTCAGATGAAACAATTAACGAATACATCTAACTCACAATCCAAAAATAACCTGCCAAGTTATTTTCATCGAAAAGGAAATCCTACATTTGTCAAAAATAAGTAGTTAAATCAAATGAAGTGATGCAAGGTTTAGTATACCGTAAATTTAGGAAGTCGGATTTTGTAAACATTGACGAACTCCATCATAAGATCAAACAAATTAGAAAAGGTAACTATCTAACATCATACCAGTAATCAAAGAAAGAGTCTTCTGCTCTATAAAAAATGGCTATTGCACTCCGAACCATTGTATCAAGGATGATAGGAGGCAAAGGACTCGTAAATTTACGCATCAGAAAAAACTAGGGGCATCTTTGATAGTCTGATAGGGCAAACTAGTCGTAAATATAATAATACCTTTCGAGAGCGACTATGTAATAATTTCAGCACATTCTTGAAATTTAATTAGTTACGGAGAATCCTACCCATAATTTCAATTGATGAAACGGAATAGGACATCAGTCAAGCAAAGAAATGGTTGCTTGTTCAGAAACTTCAAGACAGAGTTTGGACACTTTTAAAAGACACAAAAGCGTACTAGTTTTCTAGTTTCCCACAGGAAAGCATTTCTTGCTACAACTCATTGCATCTGTGTAGCCTACAAAAGTTGCAAGCTAATACCACCTTTAATAAAACTAGACAACTTAGATTATACGCACAGGTCTGTTTTTGGAAACACACGCATCCGTTGATGGTTGATGCATAATTGATAGTTAATAATGATTCTACAATAATAAGCGGATGATACCTTGTCACACGCATCCTACGCGAGAAACTTGCTTATCGCTCCCAAGGAAGGAAACCACGGTTTTAAGATCATCTTTCTGAAAGACTCATCAATTAACTTGACTTGTCAAAAATTTGGGAAAGTACTTGCCAGCAACAGTAAAAAAAATAAAAAGCTTTCAGACCTGTAAATCCATAATGACGTTGAGATATTACACTGTGTAAGAAGCACAAAAACAGAAAGCCAGAAGAAAGCACGAGTTACCTCATGCCATCCAAGGATGACATAATCACCTCCAGAGAGTCCTGAGCCAGTAAAGTCAATGAGCGGAGACAGTAATATTTGATGGAAGAAGGATTACGGCAGCTTCATTTGAATCTGCTCTACGGCCACTGCAATTTCCATGAAAGAGATTTACATAATTCAGGTTCCAATGCCGGCAAACCGGTTACCAAAATAGAAAAAGAAATAGAATAGCTTAAGCTAACTACTTGACGTGATTATTGTCGTTCCCAATAACTTGCTTTCGGCTACGTATGACTCATGCCTTGCAAGGTTCTCTAAAAGTGGCTTCACACTTCAGCTGACGGCAAAATTTAACTAGTCACTAAAATGATTCTAAGAAAATTACTGTCCTCATTAACATTGAATGAACTTCACTTCTTGCTAATTCCAAAGTAGGAAAGCACAACAACTTGAAAAGACCTTTAGAATTACAAAAAAAAAAGGGGGAAATATGTCACTATGATGTTTACAACATGCAAAGTATTACAATAATTTTTGGCAAGCCAATAATATATAGGAAATTAAGTGTAGGAGTGTTAAAATTTTAAGGGTCACTTATATTAAGTCATTATTTTGATCAGTCAAAATTAAAATGATCTTATTAAAATAAAGTTATTTGGCTTAGGGATATAATTATTATGAAAATTAATTGTGTGGATACCATCAGTCATATTTCTAACTTAATGACGAGATAAGTTAGGAATATGAAACTCTTGAGGCATAATTGTAGATTCATCAATCGTGAATATAATCATAATTGTAGATTCATCAGTTTTGACTATAAATAAGGTTATGATCCTCGGTTGTAATATCGAATAAAGTTTCTCTTCATCCGTCAAGGAGAAATCTAAAGTTCTTAAGGATACTATGCAATTGGAAGATCAAATCATCGATTAATTCAGAAAATACTCTAATGGATTCATCAGGTACGCTTCCGTGTTAATATATTTCTTAATTATTATAGGATTTCATATATATTATAGTGGATTTAATAAGTTTTATGGAAACATTCTAAAACCATTATTTTGGATCTATAAAGTATGTTTTGAACTAAAAATTCGGTTTTGATTCTATAAAATAATTGTTTGATCCATATTCGATATGTTAAAGACCGAACGGTTGGTATTAGAGTCATCCTACAATGATTGACGTG